TGGAACGAGTAAGGGCTATTTGGTGTCCTGTCTGAGGTTGGCTGACAGCTTTGCTTGTCCAACTTCAAATATAATAACCGGAGCAAACGAGAACTTTATGGAGCGTGTGATAGCTTGTTGGAAAGATAATTAAGTCTAGAATGACATACTAAAAGATGAGAGGTTCGCGACACACAAATTTTCTGCAGTATCTAAAAGACTGAACCATAGTCGGATAGGTAAAAACCTTAAAAGTGAGATTTATGCTAAGTGGATTAGTGAGAACCCCTTAGTGACTTGAGAGAAGTATTATATGATAGTTAGGAAATGAATATTATTATTTCGCATTTAGTTTTCAGTTATGGTCACAGCTTTTATTCATTACGCTTTATTATTGTTTTAAATGCTCGCGTAATGAAAAGGAAAAAGTTTACTCGCATTTTTATAAATGAACTGTTGTGATTGTAACTGTGCTTAATATCATAATCAATGTTAACAATACCGGTACATAACGGGCTGTTCCACACACGGGGTGTTACACCTGGCATGAATTGTATCCTTGTATATCTTATCATCTTAATTTCATAATCAATTGATCATTATTTAACACAACTTGTCACAATTCCCTTGAACATACACTACTTGATTCCTTGTAAACTTGAATTGATCTTTTGAACACTTGTTTAATTTTCTTGTTTAACCTAACTTGATATTGATGGTTATTATAAATTGGTTCATAGTTGTTAAATAAAGTTGGGCTCTTTATTTAGGCTGTAATATTTTCTGAAATAGTTTTATCCGAATCATTGTAAAATATTGGCGTAAATTAATATTCACATTGAAAGGATCAATGAGAGATTTCATTGAGGTTGTTTTCTCTCAAAAGGTATCAAATCTCAAATTAACTTTAGTTATATGATTGCACTTAATCCTGAGTTTATTATAAATATGTAATTAAATAGTTATCATTCTTTGATTTACCAACGGGTGATGTCCTATCTATTGATGTCCAATAACTTGGTATTTTGTGAGTGAGAATAATTGAATATTATCAGTATTTAGGAGATAAACAACATGTAATTTTTAGGATATGTCCCATTTATATGCTTCGGTACTTGGATATTGAAGACATTGTCATGTGTATGTAATCCATTAAAGAAACTATCATAGTTAAGGGAATAAATAAAAATTAGAAGTCATACACTCAATCTTGACCATTAATCCATTTGTATCCAATGACTCACATTACTAAAAAATTAGAGCACTTAGATATAAGTGGAATCAATGGACAAAAATAAGAGTGTAACTTACACTGGTGTAAAATGATCCTGACCAATATATATATATATATATATATGTATATATATATATATAGGGTATGATTCTTTGATATCGGTGTCAAACAATAAATTTGACACAGAATCCTAACTGTTGATTTTCGCCAATCAACTGTTATAATTTATTGGGAATCAAACTTATTAATTAATTATTATTTCTCAATAAACAAAAATCGTTGATTGACAAAAATCATCGGTTAGTATTTAGTGTCAAACTTCTAAGTTTGACACAATTGTGAAAGAATCTTCTCCCATATATATATACTCACTTTAGTCATCAGCCTTGAGCGCTGCTATGGCTAAGGTAAGATCAAATATGAAAAACTAAAAGTGTCCATACATTTCCCCTTTCTCCTTGAGGATAGTATGGAAGATTTGCCAAAAGTCATCTTCAGCAAGGAGGCATGTTTGTGCTATGACAAGTAGGAGGTCAGATCGTGAAGGAAACTTGTTCATGTTTTGACACCAAGGAGGCCATGTCAAAAAGGAGGAGATACCTTGGGAGCAAAGGTGAGAAGGATCACCACACCAATACACAAGGGGTTTCTCGCGGATCTAGGCTACAAAAGGTAAAACTTTATGTGACAAAGAACGATGAAGATTCATAACACCCCAAACCACTACGGTCTATATACTTATCCAGATCCAATTGCGCCAACAAATACAATGCATATTTGAAGCTCACTTCTCAAGTTGAAGATAAACATAAACGCAGGATATCTCCATACAACAAATATCATCCACAATGTTGCAAGTGATTGTTGTAGTATATATGTATATGCGAAAGCTTACGTAAGATGCATGTATCAGTAGACATGACGCAAACACGTGGATTATAACAAAATATGAATGACTTGGTAGTAAAAAAAGATCAAACGTTATAATTTCGGTAATAAAATAAGAAATTTGTGTTAAAAACAAGAAAGGAGGAGCACACGCACGATTCTCTTGCGATCCACATCATGGTCTAATCACATTTTTGTGATAAATAAGCCTGAGTTGTATGGGATAAATAAATGAACATTAGATGGGTGAGCTGAGCAAGTGCATAAAATCATTTAGTTGTAAATTAAAATCATGGTGAAACGTAGTGCATGTTTTATTTTTGAAAATATTTCAATCGGTTCATTGCTTCGCAACTAATTCGATTCGGGACGGGTTCAGTATTAAGGTTTTAAACCCCTTTCAAAGGTGGTACTGAGGAGATTCGAACACATGTTCTCATCCCTACCTGCTTAGCTTCCATGCGCCAACTGAGCTACCACCATTTAGTAACATAGTAGATGTTTGGTTTCACTTCGAAAAATTCTAAATTATGATTTGGATAAAAAACACGTCCCTCGTAACTTTTGTCCAAATCATAATTTTCAAGTTTCAAACGAAAAATCAAATGCTCTACGTAGTTCGGGTCCAGGGCTTACACCTTCTGGTAGCTCCACCTGGGTCAAGTCATGGGCTATAGCAAGTGATTCCCCATGGGACCCTCTGTTTCATCATCAATAAGCATTTGGCCCCACCAATTACAGTTACTTTAGGTGTATAGCACAATGCAGATTTTTGTTGATTGGATCATTGGGTCATTCAGGGGTAAGGTCGGTTTCATCACCACATAGACTTCAGCATGTGTGGCCATGTACCGATGCACGTCACTTTCACCCCATCTTTTGGTCAAATATATTGCATGGTAGAAATCGCAAATATTGTGAACAGTAACAAAAACGAGTGTATTTATCATAAATGACATTATAGCTTTGAAAAGAATTATCATAAAATTAAATTATGTCCTCGAAATTAACATCTGTATATTTAACAACCTTCCTTCATTAATAAGGACAATTTATTTTGTTTGACTTAATTGTGATTTAATTGAAATGGACTTCAAATTTCACCTATTTTTCTTCCTTATTCAAATTCTTATAAATTAGTCTATAAAATAAATTTGAACTTTTTTAATTGTAAACCTCCACCATCATACCAACGATAGAGATTTAGTCCTTTGAATTATTTCAAATTTTTCATTTCTGATTTTTTTTTAAATGGACGAGAACTCTTAAATATATAGAACTCATATTATGTTAGTTTTCATAATTATATTTAACTTTAATTTTTTAAAAATTGATTTTAGAATATTTGTAAATTTAAGAATTAATTTATAAATATGGATTTAGTGACTATACCAAATTTCCTATCTACTCTAAAAGATAATATAATAAATCCATTAGAATTGGTGCGTATAATACTGAAGGATTTGAGTAATTTATATATATATATATATATATATATATATATATATATGATATTATAAGTTTTGAACCTCAATATCATCATTATATAAAATAAAAAAATATAATTCATTGTTACGTTCTTTCTCCACTTGGGAAATTTTTTTAATACCACGGTTGTACCAAGTTGGGTACCTCATTTTACTAAAATAGGAAATTTTTATTTCATTTTAATCCTTCATTTTTTATTCTTTTCCTTTTATACCTCTATTGCTTTCTAATTTGGGAATGATACTACCTACAACGGTAGTACCCAAAGTTTGCTCCTCCACTTGTGTGCAGTTTCAAGCTTCTAGAAACTCATTCAATAAATAATTAATGAGCTGCCATATATTATATATATTATTTTTTAATATGTAAAAATTTTTAATATATAAAAAGTGACGTTTCAAAACTCATATTCTCTGTCTTTAATGAAACTTATTCATTGTTTTTTTTCTCATAAAAAACAATAGGTTAATTCTCATTTGTTTTGTCTCTTTATCTCTTAAAGGATTATAATTTTTCGTAATAATAATAATAAGCGTGTGTCTTTTCCTTCTGAAGTTATAATATTTGACAAAAAACAAAATAACATAATGAAATAAAAGTGACATCATAACATGCAAGTCTCAAGAAATTATCTGATTTTAATTTTATTTTATTTTGTAATATTTCAATGTAAAAACAGAACTATCTAGTTTTATTTCCATTTTGTATCTACTTAATATGCAACACCTTTAAAATGTCACATACAATACATTATTATTTTATCAACCATGACATGTATTACTCTATCGCCATTCCCATATTTTAAAGTGGGAGTTTACTTTTACTATATGGCATGTGGGGCCACTTGTTTAGCAATTAGCATAGCAATTTTTCTTTGTTTCATGGTTTGATGTTGGCGTTGGCGGTGTTATTTGCCCAACAAAAGCACGAGAAGGAAAAAGCTTTGTCCCCACACTTTCCCTTCCGTCAAAGTACACTCTTTTGTTACATCACATAAAACAAAAATTAAATTATTATCAATCAAAATTTTACAAAATACATAAAACAAAAAAAAAAAAAAAATGGCATTGTCCCTGAGGGGCCCCACCCACGTGTCAACCCTACATGGTTTAGAATCTTACGTGTCGGTTTCTCATCAGCCAAAGTTCCACTTCGCGTACCACCCACCCTCTTCTTTTGCACCCGCAGCCATTTCGCTGACCAACTTAGAAATTTCCAACAACGAAAAGACTAATATACCCTCCTTCTCAAACGTGCCATGATACCATTGGTAAACCCACAAAAAGTAAAATAAATTTGTTTGTAGAGAAGCATTTCCCCACCAACTCCTATAAAAACATGGTCTTCACCTCACTTTTGAGGTTAAATAGAAGCATCAAAGTAAAACATGCGTGTTCTCTTCTTCTTCCAAAGCCATAACCATTGGAACCTAACTCATTGAACAAAGCTTGGTAACCATGGAGAGCACCGAATCATCCACGTGTTCGCAACAACCGAACCTGCCACCAGGTTTTCGATTCCACCCCACAGACGAGGAGCTAGTTGTTCACTACCTCAAGAAGAAGGTTGCCTCTGTTCCTCTCCCTGTTGCCATCATAGCTGAGGTCGATCTCTACAAATTTGATCCATGGGAGCTACCAGGTTTGTCTCCAATTTCATCCATGGAAAGCAAAGATTGAATCTTTATGATGAAAAATCAAATGGGTATTAATTTTTTGCTCTTATTTTTTTTTTTTGGATCCTTTTCTTTTTTGGTCTTTTTTTTTTCTTATTTGGTTTTTCAGCTAAGGCATCGTTTGGGGAGGAAGAGTGGTACTTTTTTAGCCCAAGGGATAGGAAGTACCCTAACGGAGCAAGGCCAAACAGGGCTGCAACTTCTGGGTATTGGAAAGCCACAGGGACAGATAAGCCTGTGTTGTCCTCTGCTGGAACTCATAAGGTTGGGGTGAAGAAATCTTTGGTTTTCTATGGAGGAAAACCACCAAGAGGGATTAAGACAAGTTGGATCATGCATGAGTACCGTATTGCTGATAACAAGCCTAATAATAAGCCTCCTGGTTTTTGTGACTTGGGTAACAAGAAAAACTCTCTAAGGGTAAACCTTTTTTCTCATATAAAATCTTATTGCTTTAATTTTGTTCTGCTTTTCACTTTTCAGCATATGCCTTTCTCTCAATTGCTTTTGCACTTTGTGCTTTTTTATTTTTATGATCGAGGATCATGGTCATGCTGTGTTTTTTGTGTGTAGCTTGATGATTGGGTGTTATGCCGGATCTACAAGAAGGGCAATACACACAGGTCGAATGTAGATCGTGACAGGGATGATAATTCCATGGATGACGTGATTGGAAGGGTACCTCCTTCAATCAACGTGGGCCACATGAATGCGAGACTTCACCTTTCAAAGATGTCCACAAACTCCTACAGTGGCGCATTGTTAGAAAATGATCAAAATTTGTTGGATGGTGTGGTTATAGGCAATGATGGAATCAGCACAACAAGTGCTATATCATATCATTTGGGCCTCTCAAACTCCAATTCAAACACTTCAGCTTCCAAAAGAACACTATCATCACTGTATTGGAATGATGAGGATGTGGCTGGTACCTCATTATCTAACAAACAGTTTAATTTAGAGAGTACTATGAATGGTGGCAGTGTTGTGAGGACAGAAGAGAATGGCTCTATTGCCACTCTGCTTAACCAGCTTCCACAAACACCTTCATTGCACCAACAAACAATGCTGGGGCCTATAGGAGATGGGTTACTTCGATCACCATATCAAATACAAGGGATGAATTGGTATGGTTAGTTAACATGCACCTCTTTGGTATGATGATTTTATTATATTGATGCATGAGGAGATATTGAACTAAGAAAGTGGAAGGAATCCTCAGCTTGGTGCCTCACAACACTCCTTATCTCCTACTAATTAAATTGTAGAGATTTAAAGGTGTTATTGAGATTTCGGCTTGTTAGGAAACTGGAAGCATGTTAGAGTCTAATCAATGGCCTCAAATTCCTTCAACCATTTGCAGGTAGCACACATAATTAAGGTGAGGCCATGGTAATTTTAGTTAAACTTACATATAGCTTGGTGATACATACATATATATAGGTATTTGATTGTTTCATATTATGTAAAGAAACAAAGTGAGGGTGCTCTTTGTGTACAAAAATTCAAAAGAGAAGTTCTATACTTTGCTTTAGGATAGAAATTAATGAATAACCTTGTATAAATCATATACTTCCGAACTCTATTGATGCAAGAATTTAAGAAAATATATATTGGTTTTGTGGTTTGTCTATCTATATCTTGTTAATGAAGTGATGGCTGTGCTTCATATTTATTTAATTTCATTTGATTTATCACTAAATATTTAAGTTCTTGACGGTTAAGCGAGCACAGCCACAAGGGATTTTCGCTTGTTTAAGCTATAATATATTGCCGCCAATTCTGCGTCACATCAATCGATATAACCTAGAAGGCTATTAATTAGTCTTGCTAATATCTTTATCCTTTTTACCCAGAATGATGCAAGAGGGATCTAAAGGAGGTAGAATATGTTTATACACAAAACACATAGAAAGTGTGCAATATTAATTTGATTGTTAATAAGTGTTATACATAATTTTCACAACTTCCTAAGCTAAATAGTTATTTGGGCTCCTGTACCCAAAAAAAAAACCTGTAAATGGAACTTTGTGAAGGGTTATGAATTTTGTTCCAACTATATAATAAGCTCATCTATGAAAATGAAATGTTTGTCACAACTTGTATTCTATATCGGATAATATTAACTTTGTTTTATATCTGATTTCTGTTCGGTACAAATAATATATAACATATTAATAAAAATTCATTAGCAAGATTTTTAAGTTCAATTTCATTTGTTAAGTTTGATGCGAGTATATATATATAGAGAGAGAGAGACAATAACTACCACTTCACGTATTATTTAATATATGATGATATTATTGCTGGAGCATATGCAATCCACGCTTGAGAGCTATGCTCTAAGTGGATGTTGATGCACCTTGTCAAAATCTTAACGTAATTAAAGATTTGTGGCTTTCTGATACTATGATTCCATGATCATGAGGAATTAATTTCCAAGCCGTCAATTATTTTTTTTATTTTTTATTTTGGTATAATCCGGAGGTATCCCTATTAAACCTCATCCGGTCACCTTGCCTTCGGGATACGTTCCTGTAGGCTAGCCCCTCATTGGAACAGCGGATGCATTAAGCTTTGCTATCGAAGGAAGGATGAGACTAATCCCTCCATTCGAGGAGGAAGACACATCCTCTGACTCCTCAAGATTTTCCAAGAATTTACTTGAGGCAGGATTTCTATTGTCATTTGATATATATATATATATATATATATATATATATATATATATATATATATATATATATATATATATATATATATATATATATATATATATATATATATATATATATATATATGGGTTTTATAAGAGTTATGTTGTAGGAAAAGTGATTGTGTTATGTTATAGAGATTCGTTTTGCGTGCCGAAGTTTTTTTTTTTTTTTTGCTGCGGGCCCCACAAAATGTTGTGTGTGTAGGAAAATTTTTGTGGTCATGTTAAATGATAGATGATAAACCCTATATATATATATATATATATGTAGGATCCTTTGACACCGGTGTCAAATTTGAAGTTTGACACCTCATCTGAGAGCTGTTAGATATAAAAAAAAAACCCACGACTCTGGTTTGTAAGCATGTGACACCATTGATTTTTTTTTATCTAACGGCTCTCAGATGAGGTGTCAAACTTCAAATTTGACACCGGTGTCAAAGGATCATACCTCATATATATATATATATATATATATATATATATATATATATGGGTTTTATAATTCTCATTTAACATGAGAATTTAAATTTTCTTACACACCTTTCGATTTTCGTGTCAACGCGGGTCCTATATATAATTTTTCCTAACATATGGGTCCTACATGTTTTTTGTCTCTACTACATGAGAATTGAATTCTAATGTTGAATGAAAAATATAAAATCCTATATATATATATAAGGGTCAGGATTATATGTATATTTACAATAACAATGCAAATAATATCTCTTCACTTATTATTTAATATATGATTAATTATGTTATTACTGGAGCATGCATATGCCATCCATGGTTGGGTTGGGAGCCTATGCTCTAAGTGGACGTTGACGCACCTTGTCAAATTCGATTTTTTGAATTGTTATTGTTATTATAGTAAACATTATTTTTGGTCTCTGATAATATCTACGAAATCATTTTTAGTCCCTGGCAATAATAAAGAATCAAATTGGTCCCTAACAGTATGTAAAAAGGACCACGTTAGTGACGGAGGAGTTGACATAAGGACTAATGTGGCCCTTTTTTCATAATTTTAGGGACCAATTTGGTCCTTTTTTATTGTCAGGGACTAAAAAGGATTTCGTAGATATTGCCGGGGACCAAAAAAAGGTGTTTACTCTTGTTATTAAAGATGTGTGGCTTTGTGATGCTATAATTCCATGATCATGAGGAATTAGTTTCATTCTATCTATTTTTATTTCCCTATTTTCTCCCTTCTAAAATAACGTTGGCTCGTACAGCCCCAGATCTCAGAATAACTTGCCCGTTCTTTTCATTGCTATATACCAATACATTCAACTCTGAACTCGCATAGACAATTCAAGTATGCTTCATCTGCATAAACTCTGACGCTTCACCCAACCTAATCAATTTGACATGCGCGCAGCAAATTTCTAGATAGCATAGAAAATATCAAAAGAATTTATGAGAATTTGTGAGTGACAGAGAAGTCCAAATAGTAGAAAGAAAATAATGAAATGTTAGAACTTTAATTAGCATAGTGCCCGAAGATAAACAATTTCAGCTAACCACTGAAAGCTTTTTTTGATACAACTCTTAACTAACATATACCTTAATTGCTGTTATTATAGTTTTTCCGAACCTGCTCTTTAATGCAGGGTTGTTATTTGGACATTGTCAATAATAAACCCATGACTCGAGAGAAAAAAATAATAATACAAAGTCTTATAGATATTAATATGAAATTATTATTGTGATTATCACTTACTAATTTAAGTTGTTGACTTGTTCACCAAAAAAAAGAAAAAAGTTGTTTAGTTAAATTGGTTACATTCCATGATATCTAATTATGAATTCGAATCTCACCGTCCACATTTTTTAATAAAATTAAAAAATAAGTTAAAATCAACACAAAGTAAACAAAAAAATAAAAAAATTAAATATGAATCTATTCATTATTCACACTTCAAGTAAAGGGGCTCTTGTGTCAAAGGTATAAAACTTATAAAGAAACATTTCAACCAAAAAACTTATGTTACTGGGTGAATGCCACAATAAATGGTTTATATAATATTTTTTTAATACATCCTGTCACACTAGAGTCTTATGGATTTGAAGAGTGAACTATACATGAGCTCCTCCTACTTATGCCTAGAAATTACACAATCTTTAATGGACGGTGTAAAATTAATAAGTCTTACACCACATCTCAACTGTTGATTTATGTGCATCCAACGGTTATAATTTAGAAAATTATACAAATTAATTAATATTAATTAATCATTAATTACACTAAAAATACCAACCAATAATTTTCACCCATCAAAAGTTGAGATGTTGTGTAAGACTTACACTAGTGTAAAAAGAATCTGTCCCATCCTTAATTATTTATTTATTACAAGAATGGGGGTGGTGAGGATCCACTTAGTCACAAAAACTCTGATATCATATAAAAAATTATTTTGAGTTGAATTAATTCTTTATAACACTATGATTATCATTTAACAGCTTAACGTTTGGGTTTGAAATAATTCTTTACTTCAATGGTGTGGTCATAATTTAATTAGGTTGAATATTGTTCTTTTACCTTCACAGTTTCTACCTTCACCAGTTTTGATTTAATCTAAAAAAGGTACCAAGATATTTGAGCATGGGTGTCATTATCTTTCGTGGGACTGATAAGACATAGTTAAGTATATTCCACTACCCCAGAGGTCACGCAAAATAGACAACAAAATCGACCTCATCACTAGCTGCTAGCTTTTTTTCTGGCTCGACTCTAAGGGACCATTCTTGTTATCATCTAAAGGAATCATTATCCAAAAACCACACAAATTAAATACCCCTTTAATTGCATTCCTTTCTGAGGAAAGAATACAAATCAACTTTATAAAATTTAGCATCACTAGTGCCTCATTTTGGAATAGATATCATAACAATGAATTGCACTGTTATTTCTATCGGTATCCTTGAGTTATGCATGATGCTTTCAACGGCCTAAAAGTCTATGAAATCTTATCTCCGAATTAAACAAATATATGAAAAGAAAAAGACCCACATAACTACCTGTATTAAAGTGTGTGACTGTAATTAAATTAACTATGAGGCCAAAAAAGTTGAAGGACTCCTATTTACAAATCATACTGTGTCCATTATCTAAATCAATTCTAGCCCAATTCACTGTACGTAAATTAGAAAAAGAAAGAAGAAATCAAGAAATGTTTGAGAGATTGGATTGGTTTTGATCATGAGGGTTAAATGTCCTTAGCATTTGACTTGTTGCATTTAAATTGATGATGGACGGCAGCAAAGAGGAAAGTTATTTTTCTTGTATGGAACATGCCGAAAAGAATAGAATAAGGGTCTTTGAGTCTTGATTGATGTGTAAGTATCCAGCCTTGCAAACCATACAAATGATAGATATACAAAGCAATCCATTTCCATTAAGTCAAATTGGGCACTGATCCACCTCAATCCAGAGGGCATACAGTGAAGATCCAAATCCTATACTTCAATCTCTGCCAAACTCTTTATTTTAAGCTTCCAGTGAATTTAGAAACATACATGTGCACTGTGAATATATTTGCAATACTCCCGTAATATTAAAGAATCAATAGATCAATTACCAAAAAAAAAAAAAAAAAAAGATTCACTAGGTCACTTATTAAAATTGGAATAAAATAATCTACCTATCTATATTTATTTTATTCAAAGAAAGGCAATATGACTAAAACCCACGTTGCCATATAGATAATAAAGTGTCACAAGTATAAATAATGTACTATGGCTTCCAATAATTTTTTTAAAAAAGTACATAATGAAGTATATAATATAAG